AAAAAAAAAGAGGTTTTAGACCCTGAAAGGGACTGCGGCACGCAGGGAGGGAGCTGGGCAGCCAGAAACAGGTCCTCCGGGGTCACCCCAAAACTCTCCCCGTGCACAGAGCGGCCCAGAGCAGCGGGGAAGACGGGGCTGGTGCTGGGAGGAAGAGGAAGGCAGCGCCCACGGACCCGCGCCGAGCCCGGGGAATTCGCAATGCGCGCTGTCTGGGTCGCTTTTAAATCCCCAATGGGCGTTCGGCTGGAGCGGTGCTCCCGCCCCAGCAGGGGTTTTCAGCAAATCCAGCGGGATTTGGCCCGGATGGGGGTTTTGTGACGCCGTGGGGATCGCCCACGCCACGCGCAAACCCCGCAGAGCCTCACCCCGAAGCTTTGGCAAAGTCTCCCCAGGCATCGGCGGCGGCAGAAGGAGCGGCAGCGGGCTGCGGCCAGGACAAGAGGGCATCTGCGGCAGCCAGGGAAGTCGGGAAGAGAGAAAACAAACATCAGGAGTTATTTCCCACTCTTATTCCCAGATTGCCCCTCTGTTTTCCCAACTTGGATGGATAAAACCGACTCAAGAGCTTTACAGCCATCGCTGCGTGGCCACGGACCTGTGATGGGGGTGCCCGGGAGCTGGGCAGGCATGGAGAGCGAAGGCGAACGCTCTCCGGAAGGACAAACCGGAGCGGAAGATTTTCCTCCGGGAGGCGGTGGGAGCAAGCTCAAGCCCCCAGGCCCCACGGGACGCGGTCTGGTGTTCCCCGTCGCTCCTTCTTTTTTCTTCATGTTCTGAGAGAAGAGAGGGAAATGCGGGTGGTATCACGTTTAAATCCAGAGCCGGAGCGCGATTTCTCCCAGCCACAGCTCGCACGAAGCCAAATTGCTTTATTCTGGGGTAAAAAAACTGCTGTGCTGCGACATCCCACTGCCGGAGGAGCAAGAGGAGTCAAACCAAGGGTGTTTTTTACCCGCAAATCCCTGCTACGAACCCACAGACTCTGTAACCGGCGACCATAACACAACCCCTCTGCAAATGGCTGCACGCGGCGCTACCGCGAAGGGCTCCGCACCAGGCTTCCCCCTGCGTGGGGATTTCGGGGCGAAGCCGCCGCTTCTTCTTGCGCCACCCAAGGGAAAGGTCGGGAGTGGATTTAGCCAGAAAAGCTCCTCACCGCAATGTTGAGTTTGATGGTTTGCCCCTCCTTGAAGCCCAGATCCAGTTTGGGTCCCTGATCGGGGTTCTCCGCCTGTTTGGCCAGCTCGCTCTGCTGCCTCACCCATCTGCAGGAATTAAATACGCAGAAAAGGGCACGTCAAGCACCGGCCTGAGGCCCTCCCGGACAAATCCTGCCCAAGACCATCCCCTCTGCCTGGCAGCAGCTCTTCAAAGGCGCCGAATGTGATCCGAGACCTTGCCTGCCGGACAAACATGCTACGGACAGCGCCGGTGGAACGGTTCCCACCAGCAGCTCTCGGTGCTCGAGCCGCACGGATTCTCCAGCCAGCAGCGCGTTCCGTCCTGCCCCAAAGCTCTGCACCCTGCCAGGAGCCGGAGCAGCATCCCAGCCCCTCGGGAGCAACCCCTGACCAACGGCACGTTGAAGAAATGAAAAGGAATTAAGGAATTTGCCCAGTTTCGGAGTGGGAAGCCCAGTTTGAGAGCCTGCTGGGAAATATTCGCGAGAGGGAGAGCTGCTTGCACAAAGGCCGCGCGGAGGAACAGGCGTTTCCACCACCTCACACCACGCTTGCCCGCTCAAGCGCAACCAGGAGCTCACGGCTTCCTCTCCCCCACCGTTTCTGGCGGACACCCACAAAAAAAAAAAAAAAAAGTCGAGCTGAGAGGACACAGGGAGAGGCACGAACTCACTTAAAATGGTCTTGGAGAGCTACATTGAAGTCAAAAGCATCCCCTCGGTCGACAAAGCCGACTCCGATGAAAGCTCGTCGGCCTGGGGAAGGAGGAAGAATAAGGGCTGGAGTCAGCAAAGCAGCGGAGGAAGAGGAAGGTTACCCCGTCCCACACCCCCCCGTGCCTGCCGCCTCCTCCAGCCGGAGCTGGGACTCCGGAGACCAAGATACGGGACTGGAGACATCTTTAGCTTGTTGGTCGCACGCCCAGGCTTAACAAAACCAGCTTTTAAATTAATGTAAGCGAGTCAAAGCAGAGGTTGGCACCACAGTGATGATCCTGCACGCAGAGGCGTCCTCGCGCTAAGCTCAAGCAGCAAAACTGAATTGTTTTTATTGCTGGTGAAGGACAGAGCGCAGCTGGTGTGTGGGAGCAAGGTAACTCGTCCCGTTGCCACCGTATGCGGGGCATGTTTGCCCTTGAAAGCAGGAATCCTTCACAAATGAGAGCAGCGAGGGCAGCGAAGTCTTTCCGAGGCAATTCCCCCAACCCATCGCCCAGGTATCGCGCCGCACCGTTCCCGTCCTCGATCCGGATGACGAAATATCTGCTGGAGTCTGTCACGCCCTCCACAGCGATGCCAGGGAACTGCTCCACCGGCGCCTGGGCAAAAAGCTCTCCTGAAAAAGAGAAACGGGAGCAGGTTAACACCAAGGCGTAGGGTCCCCGTGCCCTCTTCCTCCCCGCGAAGAGGCACGGAGCCGTCGCCTTCCCTCCTCCTCACCCGAGGTCTTGTCCTCCAGCTTAATGAAGGCGACCTTGCCCTTGGCCGTGATGCGCAGCCTG